AGGAGTCCAGCTTTTCCATCAGAAAACCTAGCTAAAAATAAACCAATACCAAGACCCACCACCGTTCTGGCATGAAATTCACATGGTGGCAAATCTCCCTCCGATCCACAAGGACTGCGACTGCCCGTGGTGGTGTAGACATGGGGCAGATTTTGCCCAAGCTGCCCACGGGATTCCAGAGAAACACCAGTGGCTCGACCAACAAATCTCCGAAAAATGTCGGTTATGCTGGGGCCCGCACAACTAGTGAGGACGGGCCGTTCAAGTATCAAGTATCAAACATTATTTTTACTTATTGATCCATTTATTAAGGCGCACCCATTTACACTAGCCACGGTCGTTTTGCAATAGAAAACGACCACGACGTTCTTGAGCCACCTAAAAGCCACCTAAAGCCACTGTTTACGCAATTGTTTATCATATTTACTTCATACACGCTTTTAGCAACATTGCCAAATAGGTAGCTAACCATTCTAACTTCGAAGATCTACCTAACATCTGCTTCTCCAGTCAGAAATAAAACAACCTGTGGTGATTAGTCTTCTTCGTCAAAATAATAAGGTCATCCACTACTGATAAAAATGAATCACATAATCGAAGTAATTTAACTTTCATTCTAATAAATGACGATTAGGAATGAATTTATTGAAGTGTAACGTTCTGAGCTTTAGGGGGCGGATAGCTCAATGGTGGTGATGCCCATCACCACGAGCATGGGTTCAATTCCGCTCCGGGACAACTAAGCCTCTTATCTCTCCGAGGTCGGGAAACTAGTACCGGATTTCCGAACTTTAGTACCTCTGAGCTCTCTATAGCATGTGATGCTGGGTCACGTAAAAGAAAAAGAAATTTCATTTTGCCATTTTGAAACCGACCGTCTTTTAACCTCGGCAATAAGACAATGTTGGGCTTGCACGAAGTTGATAACAATGTGTCGTTTTCTTGTTCAGCAATCGCGAGGTTTTTAAACAGCATACATTTACTTCCATAAAGAAAACACAATACAATACAACGCTAGCTGACGTTTCGGCAGTATCGCCTTCTTCAGAGCCTGGAAGGGTATACTGATATACAATCTACTAGGCCAAACGCTTCAATAACACTTACAAAAAGACGAAGAACTCTCCGGTAATTACACAATCAACAACTTCTCGAAAAACCCACCGCTTTTTCGTGACTTCCAATGAGGAAGTTTAGAACAGCTGATTATAGTCGCATGTGGTTGACGACTGCACCATCCCACATCAAAAATCGATGCGAACATACGGGTTTAGGTCGCGTATGTTGATAACAATGTTTATTCGGCTAACGTTTCGATGGATTAGTCTTCATCAGAGTCGATGATCCAAGTCGATGGTCCACAGTTGTTCTGTACTCGAGGTGGAGTCTTCGTCGCGTATCGAGCTGGTTCTTCCTCAGCGGTGCATCTCACCTGAATGTTCTCGGAATCAGGAATTTAGGAAATTTCATTGTACTTTTCATTTTCTTCTTGTTAGCGAACAGCAACGCAGCTTATTTCTATCGTTCTGTGGTTAAAGGCTTATCGAGGAAATTCATCGTCAAAACCAGAACTTTTTTGAAAACCGTACAACTGTGGGATAAATTTACTATGGTAATATTAAAATATGTGAATTAATGGCTAGGGTAAGTCTTGCCACATTGGAATGTCCCACCTGCTACTAGAACTCAATTCATTCTTTCGTATTATTTTTGATCAATTAATGTGCATTCCACTTTCACTGATAGTTTTATGTTAGCGAAGCTAACTTGTTCCACACCATAGGAGTGGAAGAAAGACGTTTTAATTGATTATGGCCTAATACGAAAACCTTTTAAAACAAGTGTTCATATTGAATACAGTGATCTGAAATATACAACAGCATAGAGGTAGCCAAATATGACATTAAGGAACATCCTTAACTTGCAGTAGCCTCACGGAACCACTGCCCTGGCCAATTTTATAACTTCGGCTATTTCCGAAGAAATTCAGTTTCACCTTAGTTTTTTACACATACCGACTATGCTATTGGCCTACAGCTACACAAAATGCATTTCAAACAAACAAAAATAACAGTTTGTGGCATTTTTTAATAAACGGAAAAGGCTACAGAAAGAAATAGGCGCGGTCATTACCGGTGGAGGAAGGGGCAGTGTCGCCGGATCGCACTGTTTTCAGCGCTAGTCCTGAGGGGCGAAGAGTTGCTTAATGGAGTCGAACGCACGGCGTATCCCTAAGGCATTGATCAACGCCTAGAGTTTTATCTTTTTATCTTTTTACTCTGCCATGAAAAAAGAATAGGTAGTAATATTTTTAACTTTTATTTTTTTTCAGTATAGGAAGAATCTTCGTGAGTTATATAAAATTTCATAACCAAAATATCCCTATTCTCTAACGACACTGATGTCGACGTAGACTAACGGGTTCGGCAAGGCGATATCATATCGTTAAAAATATTTACAGCCACACACAAGAACGTAATTCCAAAACTGGAATGGAACAATAAGTGAAAGTCGATGGTCGGCGGTTACGCCATCTTTCATTTGTTGACAATACCGTTTCTACAAATGTCCCACTCCTGCTCAATGGAACGAACATCACTGAAGGCTGCAGCTATGTGTGCCTCGGTAAAGGTCAACAGGATGAACGACTTTGTCCCAGAGCTGATCAGGAGGAACCGAGCGGCTCGAGGAGCTTTAGAAAGCAACGAGGATGTAGGGAGGTGGGTAAAGAACATTCGACTCTGCGTCATCTTTTCAAGTTCGTGATTCTTCCTGCCTCAGCGTGACACGCTCGAAACCGTATCGTTCCGCAAACAAGATGAACGACAACATAGCGCTATTGAACGCGCAACTGAGGAAGCGATGCCAGAAGTATCCCGAACCACACAAACAAGAAGCGGAATGCGAAGCTACCCCAAGAATTAAAAATCAGACACGACGTCGTGCACGTTAAAATGTCGAAAATAAGTTGGGTCGCACACGTGATGCGTCTAAACGACAAACGATAGACAAGAAAGTTTAACGACTGGATTCCAATAAATATCAAGCGCGCGCGATTTTCGGGAACCCCTTAGCGCGAGCAGAACCCATTCAGATGCTTTGCCACGTGAAGAGGAGAAATAGACACTTTACTGGCGCCCGCTCGACTAACTCGTCGATCAACTATGCAGAACTGTGATACAGGTGATACTGCAAAATCAGAGAGATCTATTACTGGACAATCAGAAGAATCTCAATTGATGGAGAATGCTTGACGTGAAAGAGAACATATTATACCGTGTAGGCCATGAGGTGCAGACAGATGTAGCCACGAGTTTAGGACGGCATATTTACGTTTATTTGAGACGCTGGATGAATATTGATGACGGACGACTTAAGAGTACCATGAAGCAAAGAGCAGCACGGACCACGCTTCCACCTCTGACAGGGGTCATTGGTCAGCTTCCTGCTTCTGGCCGAGTGCTCACTTATTTGATACAACAGTTCTTCCAACTCTTTCAACGTTTTATTTAGTAAAACTACAGGTTAATACTTTAAGAACAACTAGAAAGTTTCGTAGGGAAGTCATGTCTCGTTTTTTGAGGATAAACTGATGCACTGAACACCCAACCGATTTTCTTAGTTCTGATGTTCAATGAATAACGCGCTTTACAGAGCAACGTAACACATCTCAAGCTATTCTGGCTATTCTGTAGCTTTACCGTCAAGAAAGAAAGGTCGATGAACCGATCATACAAGGAACGACGTTCCACTCCAGTGACGTTTCCCCTGCTTGACTGAAGGTAACTGAATGCATATTTGACCATTACAATGACTGGCGGTGGCCTACCGATGTATCGAGCCAGTGCTGCTATCCTCTCAGGAAAGCGTGGTACCAAGTTGTCGACTCCGGAGGGATGATGTGCTTGGTGGGGCTGGGCAGCTGAGATCTATCGTTTGTTTATTGCACAGCACCTCCGACCACTGCGCCACACGCGCCTCTCTGATCAAACATATACAACAAATATTTGACCTAACAAAACAAAGTAAACTGAAGGAAAACAACAAAAACTTTAAGAAATAATTCGTCTAGCACGTATTTATTGCAAAATAATAAAGCATTATGATGTACTAACGTCCAAGTTCTCTTGAACTGAGGACTAAAAGAGGAAGGATAAAGCTTTCGACCTTTGAGGGATGCACCAAGAATTTGACTTCATTCAGCATTGTTGGTGACTGAATGCATATCCGGCCTTTACAATGTCTCGCCGTGTCCAACCGATGTATCGAGCAAGTGCTGCTATTCTTCCAGACAAGCCTGGTACCAATTTGCTGACCGAAAAGGGAAGGAGGGCTCTGTGAGCCTGGGGTGAGAGGATCGATCCCATGTGTATTGCAGGGCGCCTCCAACCATTGCGCTACACGCCCTACTATGCGCACTTAGGTCGTACGAGACCAAAAATCTACACTTGCGGAAGGAAATGACGAAATTTCAACAAAAAGTTAATACGGAGCACTTCGTCACCCAAACGGAATGAAGAAAAATCCATTCTATCTCGAAAATTTTGAAGAAAAGAAGGGAAGAGGATACGAAGCAGGTGCTGGCGCTAGAGCGTGAATTGGCGGTTGGGCGCGCGAGCGTTTGTGTAGTACTTGTGAGTGTATGCCCATAACTTTTTCTTTTATAAGCGAAGTTTTTCTTTCTCAAGGTTGAGTTGATCGTTACTGATTCCATTATGCACGATATTGCTGTGCAGTTCTCTGTTTCGTATTCCAAATTTGTATGAAACCAGTTACAAGTACAACAAAGGATCTACCACTTTGCAAGCAGTATTTGAAGTGAATGTGGAACCGAAAGAATGGTCTGAATAGAAGCCACTTTGATGTAACTCTTTTTTCTTCACTACCCCAATAACGGTGTGCATAAGCTTTGATCCTAAAAAAACCTAACATCCTAACATGAGCCTCTAGCAGAATGAAATGACGGAAAGTCGGCACGACGGCAATTTAGAGCGCCTGGAAAACTAGGAAGTAACACGCTTGTTAGTCGAACACTACCTGACAGATACACTTTATAAGGGGAATGGTCTATGGCATTGTTGCTGCTTATGGACATCCTGGAAACGACCTCGGTGTCGCTTTCAGAATCGATGCGATTGTGTTCCTCTCTTTAGAATATCTTCTCCATATCGTATCGTGCTACTAATAGCTCTCATGTCTGTCTTTTCTATAGCTTATTCTCGTCTGTAACTGTTATGCCTAGGAACCACTGACTCGTCTTTCTCTTATGGAGTCGGGATGTATGGAGTAACTCAAGTGAATTGTTCTTACGATAACGCAAAACACAATCTAAGTTGTGAGTCACTTCGAGGCGATCATTCTGAGTTTTGTTCGGTTTTCTTTCAGTTTGCAGTTTCGAGTTTCGATTAGAAACTTGTAGAAATTTCGTTCCGTTAGATAGACAAACTCTCCGCTATTCGTTTAACTTTACTAAGTTCCATCTCATTTCTTAGACGTTTTTCAACGATTGCATCAAACTGCATTCTTTCAGTGAAAACGGCTCGTAAGATGAACGGTGGTGCTGAACCTCTTCTACGGTTCTCCGAAGCGAAGAAGGTGCTTGGCGATATCTACACGGACTTGGCGAAGCACGTCGATGAGCTTGATGACGTTTATAAAAGTATAATATACCTTTATCAGAGTTTCTGGGCCGAATTTGTCCCTACTAGAAGCGTAGCGAGAATTTGCCCTTTGAGTAGAAGAAGTTGCATGCAGATTCCATCTGATATATTACTGCTTGGTTTTAGCGCTCTTGTAGTTAATGTTCTCGTTTCGTGCTATTTTATCGACTTATCGATCAGCATAGCAACATTTCTTTGATGGTACAAACTTAAAGAAAAGTACTTGAGTGTGTTTGATATATTTGTTGTTATTTTTCCTTTCGAAGTTACACAAAACATACTTCTGATCCTTCCAACGGCTTACCGCCTCATCGTGGCTGGTAGGGGTTCGTGAGTGTCGGGTTGCGGTGTACAGCAGGGGATTCATCCTTCCAGTGAGGTCTCCCGTGTTGAGAAGGTGTTCGGCATTTTTATCAGGAAGCCCAGCCAAGAGTAAACCAATACCAGGATCCACCACTGTAGTGGTGTCGAACTAGTCGCTTGGTGGAAAATCCCTGCCTGATCCACAAGGGTGGCGACTTCCTGTGGTGGTGGCGACCTGTGGCAGACTTTGGCCAGGCTGACCTCAGGTCTTCAGGGAACCACAATGGCTAAACCAGAACAACCCCGAAAAAGTAAAGATTATTCCCGCACAACCAGTGAAGGTGGGCCGTCCAATTATCCAATTATGCTTCGAAGCATTGCATAGCAGGCGTTCAAAAATTAATCTTTCCTTCGATTTCCTTTCGTTCCCAGTGAAACAAAGAAAAGACCATTAATCTTAATTATGTCGAAGATATCGCTTCTTCATAAATCTTTTTTGATGTCCTAGAACTTAAAGCATTCTCCCAGTGTCTTAAAACAGTTACTTTATTTACCTACTTATTGGTCCTGGTCAACAGATTAAAATATATTTTCTAGGGTTAAGTGTTTCTAAATCTGACGACTCTGGCAACAATGTTGAAAGCCTGGTTCCTGCAGAGCAAGCTAAAGAAACCACTCTACTTCGTGAATCTATAAAGACTATTATGGAGACGTTTAGACGAGATCACATGAAGGTTGTCTTTTTCGGAAGGTAAATATATAAATACCTTTTCTTCCGTCAAGTTGCAATCCAGAACGGTTAATAATCGGTTGCTTTGGGATTTTAAAGGTGGGAGGAGGGAGGAAGAGGATAGCGCAGTGCTCGGTGGCACCCCGCACAATACACATGAGAGCGATCCCGGCGCCCAAGACCCCCAATCCTTCTTTCCCCTCGGGGCCGGTAGATTGGTGCCAGACTTGTCAGGGAGGATAGCAACATTGGCTCGATACATCGGTAGCCCACCACGGGGCATTGTAAAGGCCAGATATGCATTCAGTTATTTTCAACGATGCTTAATGAACTTGAATGCATGGCGCATTCCTCAGGGTTTTATCAACGCGGAGAGCTTTATCCTTTTTTTCCTTTTGGAAAAAATCTTATTTCTTTTTCGCACTCTCTGTAATTGATTAAGATGCAGTGTTTTTGAAGTGGTTTTTGTTTCCAAAGGATGTTCGATGGACCAACAATTGTACTTGTCGAGGTGTCCAATTTTCACGATGACCCGCGAGTACTGTAGTATCTTACACTTTAAAGTTTACGAATGTCACCATATTGATTTTGTTTACTGCGAAACAAACTGTGGACGTAGTGCTTTTTGACATAAATCTCTCATTTATTTCTTAACGTTGAATTTTCCGAACGAGTAACGGGAAGAGTACCACCATCAACGCTATGCTCCATGCAAAGATTCTCCCTCAAGGAATGGGGCATACTACATGCTGTTTTCTACAAGTAAGTCTTGAATGGTAGTTGTAAGAACCATGTGCTTTTATTGGAAGTGAGTGGACCACATTTCCAAAGTTGTAAAGGCGAATTTTGCACTGATCAAGGATAATTCTTGTAGGTACAAGGTTGTACTGAGGATACTGGATATTTACTGCTTGAAGATAATCCTGTCCGTATTCCTATAGATCAGTTAAGTAAAATCGGTCATGCTCTCAGTAGCGACAATTCTGGATTGCCTGCAATGGGACAAGATTCGTTACTGCGTATTTTTCATCCGAAAGGACATGGTGAAGAAGAGAATCGCCTACTGCAAAACGACGTTGTTATTTTGGATAGGTGAGCAACTGTCTAAGATTACTTTCTTCTGCGCACGTAAAATTTCCTGAAGTATCTTACTTTCTAGTTCCATTTTTTTGTAATTCGTGTATTACTCTCTTTGTAGCCCAGGGGTGGATTTATCTCCTGAATTCGACAGTTGGATTGACAAGCATTGCTTAGATGCAGATGTTTTCGTCCTAGTTTTAAATGCAGAGTCCACCCTTACACAAGCGGTATGTCAAATTAGTTTACTTTCTTTATCTTAGTGATTTTAATGCTTTCGTTTGCTTTTATATCTTCTAACTGTTAATAGTGAATTTATTTCGACTAGTGCAGTCTTTAGGAGAAAAGTTTCTTCTACCGAGTTGCGAAGAAACTTAGCAAGCCGAATGTATTCATTTTGAACAATCGTTGGGATGCGAGTGCAGCGGAGTCAGAACACGTCGAGGATGTAAGTTTCTTTATTTTAAATATGCTATACTTATATTCACTTTAATAGTTAATAGGTGCGACAACAACACTTGACGCGTTTTCGACAGTTCTTAGTGAACGAACTTGAGGTGGCCACCGATCGAGACGTAAAAGATAGAATTTTTTTTGTTTCTTCAAGAGAGGTGAGCTGTTCTATTCGTTCTAGTCTAAATGAGATAAGTTGAAATGGATAGTAAGAACTTCAAGCAATCAAAACTTTTTAAAACTGTTGTTTTTATTTATTATTCGAATTTTATTAGAGCTTGTTTGAAGGTACTTGAATCACGCTTGAAAGCACGAGGTTTGATAAAGTCAGCGTATCAAATGGATGGTCACCATGTGAGGGCCATGGAATTTGAAATGTTTGAACGGCAATTTGAACAGTGCATATCAAAGTACGTCTTCTATTTATTGTATGTGCTTGCCTATTTGCGTAGTAAAATGGGCAATATGTGCGCGTGTGGTGCAGTGGTCGGAAGCGTCCTGCAATACACATGGGATCGATACCGGCGTCCCAGGCTCAATAAGCCTTCCATCCCTCCAGGATCGGCAAATTGGTATCAGACTTGTCTGGGAAGATAGCAGCACTCGCTCTGTACATCAGTAGGCCACCACGAGTCATTGTGATGGCCAGATATGCGTTCAATCACCTTCAGCGATGCTTAATGAAGTTGAATGCATGGCACATCTCTCAGCGATTGATCAACGCCGGGAGCTTTTGTGTAAATGTAAATAATTGGCAAAATATTTTGGCTACCCTCCCAATATCAAAGTTAATGGAAACTCCCAAGTTAATGGAAACTCTGGTGCAGTCAAATACATGCGCGTATTGTTGAACACATATGCGACCACCGTTGGTTTAGCGAAGGCTGGAAAAACGACAGACGTTATGCACGATTTAAACATGGCAGTGTTGGTTTTTTAAACTTATATCACTGCGGGTGTCGTAATGATAATTTTGGCGCCGCTTTGCACTTCGCGTAGCTTTTTGCATATGGGTGAGATCTCAAGTAGAGAGACAATTTGTTATCACCATTAAGTCTGGTTTTAGGAAGGAGTTCGGCGTTTTCGTCAGTAAGCCTAGCTAAGAGTAAACCAATACCAACCAGTACCAGGATCCACCACCATCCTTGTATCTAACTAGTCACATGGTGACAACCTCTTTCTGATCCACATCGGCTGCGACTGGCGACTTCAGCTGCTAAATTAGCTTTGTAACGTTTAAAGTGGGGCAGACTTTGGCCAGGCTGTCCTCGGGACGCCATGGAACCACATTGGCTAAACCAACAAATCCCCAAAGAATGGAGATTATGCGGGGGCCCGCACAACCAGTGAAGATGGAGCATCCTAGTTTCCAAGTAAGTAAGACGTTTACTTAAAGATAGTTTTGTAGATCTGCCATTCGTACAAAATTCGAAGCTCACAATCGACGGGCCAATGAAATCATTGCAAAGATGCGCGCAAACGTTGACGTAGTTTATACAAACACGAACAATACCAAACTAAGTTTGGAAAAAAACCTCCAGGTAATCCATTACTTTTGTTGTGTGGTTTGAGGTTGTTTTTTTCGTGTTCTTTGTTTATGAGACATGTGGAATTGATGTCTTTCTTTTTAATCACTAACCTTGGACTGATTCAACTGTTTAACCAGTTTTGTTCGTCGGTTTGTTGAGTATTCAATCAATTCATTCGTTCTAGAGGAATACACAAACGTTCAGTGATTGTCGGGAGAACTTTGCACAATTTGAACGAGCCTATCGTGAACAGACGGAACGTCTAAGGGCTGAAGTTCATTTAAAGGTACGATTATGTTGGGTATGTAGCAGAAATTCCGCTGATTATGTGGTTTTTCGAAGTTGTATGGCAGGAATTCCAGTGACTACGTGGTCCTCTGGCGACTAATCCAGGATTCGTTAAAGTCAGAAGAATCATTGCATTTGTTCCAGTTTCAGCATCATGAGGGAACAAGCTTTTCTCCTATCCGAAAAGCTTTGAGGTGCTTGTGATGACGACCTGAAAACGTCGTGTCACGACTAGTTCGGATCTTTAAAGAAAACCGCACTGGGCCGGCATTCAACCATGTTATTAAAGAGAAGGGTCCACACATACTCAAGCTGCGGCCAAGTCTACCCCGAACTGTATCGGCTGTGCGAATGGCGTTTGCATTTCAAAGAAACAGACAAATGAATTACTGGTACCTGGACGATATATGATGAGCTGTTAACTAAGTGCTGAACAATAGAAATTAAATGTAGAAGTGTAGGGAATAAATTCATTAATGAGGTTTGTTTTTCTTAGGTGTCTGCCGATTTCAGCGAGGAGATAATGAGGCTGGAGGCAATAATTGATCGCTTCAATATGCCATTCATAGACACCAAAGAAGGAATAGTGAAATATAAACAGGCAGGTGATTTTTCTATGGATATAATGACTGTTATGAAAGGTTCATCGTCCTCCTCAATGAAGGCAAGTATTATGGCTGAACTCCTTACTAGATAGTAGTCCAACAACTTTCGTTTTCGTTCCTAATTTTACAGCAGTAGATCGAAATTTTTAGGCTCTGGCCGAATTCACCGATAAATGCGTCAGTTCAGATCTTGAAGCGAGGTGTACTGGTGGTTTAATGTCTCGAATATGGAACCTCGAGAATGACATGTTCCGTAAGTTTATGTGAAGTTGCACATATGAGCTAAAAGCACCATGTTGTGTCCTTTTACACAATCAGTACCAGAATTTGATCCGCAAGGAGCATATGTACTGACATTCGTGTGGTGTGTGTAAAGGAAGCATTTGTTAGTTTGCTTAGGCTGTGAGTTATATCGCAAGTTGGTGACGCAGAGCGGTCATGGGCTGTAGGCATTGCTAGTACTCGTACGCTATATATCTCCTTTTATAACCAATGGAGCGGATAGCACAGTGGTAATGATGCCGGTCATCACGAGCACGGTGTTAGTTTGATCTCGCTCCGGACTCAGCAAACCTCTCATCCCTTTGTAGTCGTCAAATTGGTACCGGACTTGTCTGGGAAAAAAATTATTCTCTGCAATCCAATTGGGAACGCTCCAGCCCGGCTATCTCGGGACTCCAGGAAGAATTGCTCGACCAGCATTGCACGACATTCAAGGTGAAAGGAAAATCCTCAAGCAGCAACTGAAGCCACACGTAAAAAGTTGGAATACCTTCGTGGATAATGCTTGCGAGGAGACGAATCGAATGTGAATGACAGTAGATGTGAAAGATGTGTCGTATAAATAAATAAATAAATAATGGCGGGGATGGGAAAAAGTGGTGGCTTTTTAAATAATGAAATGCTTCCGATTATCACCAATCAGATGAATTGCCAAACTGCTGAACCGACTGTGTTCGGAGCTGTTTTCTTACAAATGAATGTCGTTCACAGAAGTTTTCCAAGTGAACGCTGTTTTTGGATCCGCTACACACGAAGGTGAATTCCATAGAAGCTAACCCTTGTGAAGGTGAATTAATAGAGGAAATGTTGTTCAAATGCTTTTCAAAAATTAAATGTTCATTGGCCGAAAGTGCTACATCATTGCTCTACTACCTCCTCATGGCTAATGGGTGTTTGTGAGTATCGAGTTGTCATAATTTTTTTCGCTTTCAATTTTTTTTATTTCTTATTTCTTTAAGAGCGCGGTATGCGTGGAAAGAGTTCCGTCGGCAGGGCCGGCGAACTGCGCTGGGCGACCTTTTTGTCAAAAACAAACTAAAGTACGATGGTGTTGGGATATTTGCAAAGTCTCTGGACCGCAGGTGTCTGCGGTGGGGATCTAACGTCGCTATTACCACTTCGGGGGCTAATGTGTTCACTACCACACCATGCGGATCCTTCGTTTGGCCTTTCTCTGTCGTCTTCTATAGGCGCTATCATCAATCCCTCCATAAGCTAAAGTGCTTCATAAGCAATTTGATGTTTTCCGTGTGCTGTAGTGAAGACGAGTTCATTGAGCCGCGCTGTTGGGTTGATAGAGTTTACTAGCAGCTACGCGATGGTGGGATCGATTCCCGCGCTCCTAAGCCACCAGGGCTTCGATCCCTCCGGGGTCGGCGAATTGCTACCTGACTTGTTTGGGAGGATTGTTGCACTGGCTCCATACATCGGTATGCCACCCTGAGTCGTTGTAAAGGCCAGATATGCATTCATTCACCTCCAGTGATACTAAATGAATTCGAATGCATGGCTCATTCTTCAAGGATTGATCAACGCCGAGAACTTTATCCTTTATTCTTCTTACGCGATGGTGAATAATTTCATGTATCATTGGTTTTCTTCAGGTTTCATATTTCAGACTACGTTACCAAGATCCTAACTGAGCCGTACCAACATAAACTTGAAGAAGTGTGGAGGTATCGAGCTCCCTTTAAATTTAGTATCTGTGTGGATGCTCCAGCGTTAACCATGTATGTTTATCACATTTTTTGCACAGCACTCTTTGAAATATTTCGGAAAATTCGTTGCAACCGTTATAATAGGAGTTTTGCATCATATACGTACACACATTCTAGGGATTTCCACGAGGATCTCGAGTTTCGTTTCACTTTTGGTTTATCTGCTATAATTCGTCGAATAGTAGCATATCGATCAGGTCAACCTGTAACAGCTATTCAGACTAATCTACTGAGACCGCTGGTTTGGGTTTTTATAATGTTTCACTTGTTTCCCACAAAATTCTCAATAGGAGTGTTTTTTTTTTGAGAAGAGCTTACCTCGTAACAACGAGCACTCTGAATCCCACACTGAAGCTGTGCAAAATGTGGTTGATGAGAACGCAATGATGACGCAGATGGTCTTAACATCGGCCAGTTACCTAGCAAATGGCAGTATAGGGTTACTAATTGTTGGTGGCATCGTGTATAGAGCTGTTGGATGGCGCGTAAGTTCACGAACTCAGTTCAATCAATATTTCTTTTTCATTATGACAGAGATTTTATAAAAATGTAGTTGGTAACAATTTTAGGTGGTATGTGCACTTTCTTCAGCTTGAGAAATTTGTGGAGTTATCAATTTCGAAAATATTATCATTTGGATAGGTGATCGCAGTAACTGCGGCGACATATGGCGGCCTTTACTTATGGGAGCGTATGCGGTGGAATTCACACGCCAAGGAACAACATCTCAAGGAACAGTTTCGTGCGCACCTAGCTGCTAGAATGCAACAAGTCGGGGCAGCCCATACGACGCATTGTGAAACTCAAGCCATGAGGTAAGGAACCAGTTTCATGAGTAAGAAGACAAAGGATAAAGCTGTCGGCGTTGATCAATTCCTGAGTGGTGCGTCATGCATTCGACTTCATTAAACATCGTTTGGAGGTGATTGGATGCATATCTGGCTTTTACAATGACTCGCTGTGGCCTACCTATGTATCAAGCCAACACTGCTTTCCCCCAGACAAGTTTGGTATCGATTCACTGACCTCGGAGAGATGGAGGGCTTGGCGAGCCTTGGGCGCAGCGATCGATCCCATGTGTTGCAGGGCGCCTCCGATCACTGCGCCACATGCACCCTTTGCGTTGTGGTATAAGACTTCATGCAACTGTATATACAGATCCGCAATTTAGAGAAATGGACCAAGTTTTCGATGGTCTTCGTGCAACTGTTGCCGGTGTTCACAGAGAGATGAAAGAAGAGTTGGACAAAGACAAAAAAGAAATCGATAGAATTGATGGGACATTGAAGAATCTTGTCACCATCAAGTAAGCTATGTAGCGTTAATTTCACACTTTCATATTCGATTTTAATTAGCATTCACAGTTCATCACACTTGAAAAGCTCGTGCTTTAGTTTTCAGTTTTTATCCAGTATTATAGTCGATCACTTCCTTACCTTTTTTTTACTACAAATGTTTCCCTGTACTATTTTTCTGTTTATTTTGAGCGGTGTTTAGAGGAAAAACGGCGTTCTTGATGAGAAGCCTGGAACAGTTTGCGTCAACGTTCCTGGCATCAGATTCTCCTTCGTAATAGCTCCTTCCGTTCACATCATTCAGAATATGTGACTTTATATTTCAATCCAAACGGTAGTTTTCTGTTTCCTCCACAGGCAATCCTTAGGTCTGTGTCCTAGGTTTAACAATAATAATATTGCTCAATTCACATTAGGAATAGCATCTGAGCTTTTGTTGCTTTTATCTCAGTGAGCGGTTTCGTCATCTAATTTCATTTAGTTTCAGCAAAAAAATGTGCTGACTAAGGATTTTTTGATTTTCATAACGCTTATGATGAGGAAAAAGTTGTGTGGTGTTACTTTCTTCATTTGTAGCTTGGTATCTGCTTCAATGAGAGGTATTGATTAGTAGAAGCGAGAATTCTCCATCTAATCCACAAGTGCGGCAACTGCCTGTGGTGTTGACGAGCAGGGGCAGCCTTTGGCTCGGTTGACGTCGGGACTTCAAGGAAGCACACTGTCTAAACCAGCAAAACTCCAAAAAAATGAAGACTCTGCTGGGGTACGGACAGCCAGTGAGTACGTGGCATCCAAATATCTAGGTAAATATAAGCGAGAATCTCTGAGCAGCGTTTAATGCCATGATCCACCATCTAGTTTTGTATTAGGACGACAAGAATTGCTTATAGGTGATGAATAGTTAAGCATACGTTATTTTGCGATCGATAATGGTAAGATATATTAATATATAGCTTTTTTTCAACTTCTGTGTAAATTGTTCATTGTTTTGTTAGCGTGTTATGCTTGATAGCAGGTTTCATTCAGTGATGGGCACCCGTCGAACTATTTTCTTGGCTTAGCTATGTGCGCCCATCTTTATAATTTCAGTCTGTCTTATCGTACGTAGGGATAGACATCCGTTAGAATGTTGCTGTTTGCTGTTATATTATGACAGTCTAGTCAATATCTAGTAACGCTTAACATTGTTAACTTACCTCAGTGTAATGACTAGGTTAGCGAAGCAACATTTTGTTTACAATATCTGCTTTAACAGGGTTGCTTCGTTCTTTAGTTACGAAGTCGAAAATAAATCTTTGGACGCTTCTGTGATCATTTTCTGTTGTACTATAAGCATTGGTGTTTTGGAATACGACCAATCCAAATACTTGTTTTGACAGCCTATTTTAGTTAATATTGCGAGCATTAGCAGTTTTTGGTGAGTTAGCTCACACTTGGTCCTCGTACTTCTGGGCTGTGTGCTTCGTGGGTAGTGGCAAACATGGTACACTGGGTTCCGGTTCTTCAAGTTCTACTTATCTGCACATTTGACGAGATTTACATCCTTTGCATGAACTTAACTCACTGGATCACAATATTTCTCGAGAAATACAACCAAAATGATGCTGAGACATTTGCAAGACTCCGCACCGCAGATGTCTGCGGTGGAGATCGAACACGCCATTACCGTCTCCAGGGGGCCAACGAGCTCACCACCATACCATGCGGTCCTTTCGTTTCGCCTTTCTCTTAGCTAGTTTCCCATCTACCAGTTTCCCGTTGACGGGTAGATAGAAAACTAGCTAAGGAAAAGACTAAACAAAGGACTCGCATGGTGTGGTGGTGAGCGCGTTGGCCCCCGGAAAGGGCAATGGCGTGTTCGGTCTCCACTGCAGACACATGCGGTCCGGTGATTTGCAAATATCTCAGTATCATCGTGGTTGTATCACAGATAATAAAGTGCAGTGAAAAATTGTTTAAAGGATAGAGGATAGAGCTCTCGCGGTTGATCAATCCTTGTGGGATGCACCGTGCATTCGACTTCATTAGGCGTTGTTTAGAGGTCACTGGATGCAAATCTGACCTTTACAATGACTCGCGTATCGAACCAGTGCTGCTACCCTCCCAGACAAGTCTGGTACCAATTTGCCTGCTCCGGAAGGATGGAAGGCTTGGTGGGCCATGGGCATTGGGACCAATTCCATGTGTGTTGCAGGGCGCCTACCTCTGCGCAGCACACGCCCTTTGGAAAATTGTAGTAGGTAGCAAATAAGATCTTAACACTCGAGAAAGTTAGAGGTATTTTGAAGTTTTGCAGTTTCCTGTCTAATCACGACCTCGGTACCAAGTGCACAGTGGTGTTCAACAGCTTTGGAGAAATGGTGTTGTTATGATGGAGCTGTTGGTCGATAGGCTTAAACAGTGAATAGGGAACACTAGCTGTCGTTGGTGATATTCAGCATCAGTTGTATGCTAACCGCAGAAGGACCCTACAGTGGTCTTTCTGCAGTAGGGGTCTTCTGCAGAAGTTGTGGAAGGCAGGAGCTCATCTTCAGACCTCTTAAATATTGTAGTTTTTCTACTCTTGGAATGGAATATAGTACTGGAGATATAATTCGACCTTTCTAGTACATTCTTTACGACATTTCCAGTGGTTTTTTCACCGTGCAATATTTTGCAAAAATTATTTTGTCTTAAGTCGATAATCTGGCAATGGTTTCCCGCCTCATCGTGGATGTGAGGTGTTCATAGGTGTCGGGCTACGATGTACGGAGGGGGATTCGTCCACGCGGCAGGGTGTCCCAAGTTGAGGATTCCGGCGTTCCCGTCAGGAAGCCCAGCTGAGAGTAAACCAATACCAGGATCCACCACCGTCCTAATATCAAACTAGTCGCATGGTGGCAAATCTCCCTCTGATCCACAAAGGCGATGAGTGCCTATAGTGGTGACGACCTGGGGCAGACGTCGGCCAGACTGATCTCAGGATTCCAGGAAATCACAATGGCTAAACCAGTAAAACTCCGAAATATAGGGAATATGTTGGGCCCGCACAACTAGCGAGGACAGGCCGTCCAAGTATACAAGTAAGTCGGTAGCCTCCCTACTACAAATAATGTACCATATGTGGAAGGAAGAAAGGAAAAAAATAACTGTCACATACCAAGGTAAAAGAAGCAAGCTTTGAAATGAATTCCTCTATATAAGCACTTCGATGATTCTTTACTTTTTATATCGACAGTGGCATAGAGACGTCTCCGTTTGGACAAAGGTGTTAGGTTGTCGTCGTTGTACAAACGAAATTGCACGGATCTTTGGACGATTCCTTGATTACTGTACAGGTAAATTAGCATAGAGATTGGATGAATGGCTTGGCTGGGTGTTAACTTAATCAGTACTGTCGGGGTGCGAGAACATCAGACAGTTGATCCAGGTGTTTCGGCTTCAAGTATTGGAGAAATGACTGCTTTCCGGACAGTTTCTAATCGAAGTCTCTTCTATACGCTTCTGATCCATCTTCTCATTGTTCATGAAGCAGATTTCAGCTATCCAGTAGGTAAAGTCTTTCCTTAATCGAATTATCTATGAAATAAATTATTGGACTTCCACACTTCCTTTCTGAACCTTCTCATATTCTTTCGCTCGGCCTCCGACAACAAAGAGGTTTTTCATTTTAGATCGTACAGTGAATGTTCTGATTATCCGTTTATTGGTTATCCAAATTAGCTGGTCAGTGTGTAGTCTTCGGTAATATTGATGTTCATTTGACGTATAGGTAGGATAGGCAACACAAGTCGTGGTCACAGTGTCGAGTACACACTGAAATCGTGGAGCATGCGTTGATGAGCATCGACGTGGAAACTACTTTAGCCTCCAGCTTTAGCTGGAGCGTCAAAATCAATGTCAGAGGAGGCCCTTATGTTGTTAATGAAGTAAGACTGCTGCATCAGAGCCTCCATAATTCATTAGGTAATAATCAGATTTCGAATTCCGTAATACCTCGACTGGGCGCGTGCAGCGCAGTGGGCGAAAGCGGCCTACCATACACATAGGATCGATTCCAACGTCCTAGGCTCACCAAGCCCTCCATCTCTCCAAGGACGGCAGACTGGTATCCGACTTGTCTGGTAGGATAGCAGCACTGGCTCGGTACATTGGTTGGCCACCGCAAGTCACTGTAAGGGCAAAATATGCTTTCATTGGCCTCCAACGATGCTTAATGAAGTCGAAGGCTTGGCACATCCCTCAGGGATAGATCAACGACGAGAGCTTTATCCTTTATCCTTACCATATCTCGAGAACTCTTCACGAGAGATGACTCTCGTGTTGACGTTCAAAGTTAGTTGCACATAGTGGCATAAGGGTTTTATAAACCTAAGGACGATGTTTTATCAAATTTTATGCGTCCACGTTTCAGCAAACCGTTTGTTCTCCTCCATAGTTCTTTATCTGTCAGTTTTTAGCAACTTTTTTAAGCAGAAGTTGCCTTACACAGTAATTGTCAAGTATGTGTCGGCAGTGCGATGGATGAAGGATTTTGTGACTGTTCTGAGAACGATTATAAGTACGAGATTGACTTAATCAAAGAAGAGGTGAAGTGGTTCACTGTCATCTAAGCTCTTATTTCTCATAAGATCTCTTTTTGACCGTGAAATACCAGTAATTTTATTTTTCATGCTGATTGCAGGTGGAATATTATACGAGGAAAAAAGAACATGAGGATGTTTCCGACGCAGGGAGTTAGTTTTTCTAATTATCTGCCTAGTAGATTAGATCAGAAATCGGAGTTCTTGACATAACTCCAAAGCTACACTTGCAATTCAATGAACTGCCTATCTTAGTCATACTAGAAGTTTCGTGCTGGCGCGGGGCTAGGTTCCATGTTCTTAAGTGGTCGATATCAGGACTGGACGCAGAATGTAAACTCGGCCAAGCACTTGTCTTGTGGGACAGATAGATTCGGAGTAAAACAGAGGATAAAGTTTTTGGCGTTGATCAATCCCTGAAAAATGCGTAGGAAGTTCATAAGGAACATAAAATCCTCAATCAGCAGAGGGGGCAACAGACGCAGAATGTTCGAGGACCATTGCGAATGATGAATGCGAGAAAAATTGAATACAGGAAGTTTTGGGATTTCCACAGTAGGTGTGATGACGGGTGATAGAAAATGAATAAATTGTAAATAAGATAGAAGTAAACGTTCTTATTTTCTTGAACATAATGAAGCTTCAATGTGTGCTAGCGAGGAAGTTTAATAACAGAAAAAGAATCAGAGATTATGAATCTTTCCAACGGTTTCCCGCCTAATCATGGCTGCGAAGTGCTCATGGGTGTTGGGCTGCGGTGTACAGCGGGGGTTCATCTCCTAGCAGGGTCTCTTAAGCTGAGAAGGAGTCCAACGTTTTCATTGGGGAACCGATTTAAAATTAATCAATACCAGGATTAAACACCGTCCTGATATCAAATTACTTGCATGGTGGCAAATCTTCCTGTTACATAAGGGCAGCGACTGCATGTGGTGGTGATGAATTGGGGCAGACTATGGCTATTCTAACCTCGGGTATCCAGGGAATCATAATGGCTAAACTAGGAAAACCCCGAAAAAATGAACGTTGTGCTAGGGCTCGCACAACCAGTGAAGATGGGCCATCCAAGTATCGAGTAAGATTATAAGTATCAATTCTTTTGAACATGTTGGCTAGAGACAGTTACTTTGTCGGAAAGAAGAAATTGAGCCATACTCTGTGTAAAGCGTAGTGTCCTGATGCCATTTGAACAAGCGAAGCTCATTGGATCGTTGTGAGGTAACTGAATACCTGAAATAGCTGGAAATAGGTCATTAGCTGATGCAAGTGATCTTGTCGATGCTTCTAGTGAACTGATTCTTTCTATAGTTACTATTTCTGTTAAAAAATCGCAATTCTCATTGGTTTTCTTCTAGAGGATGGTTCCGCAGTGCCCGCTCCGGGCGTTTGGAAGACGGTTCAAGTTGCATTTACGAAATCTAATGGAACTCGAAAAACGACAAACATGTATGAGGTGGCACGAAAAGATGTGACATTGAAGAATTTGCATAATGTGGAATTGCTGCGATATAGAGGGTGGTAGGTTTTCAAACGATGAGAAGTCGAAACTTTATAATTATTACATTACTAAAAAGACGGGCGCGTGTAGCGCATTGGTCGGAGGGGCTCTGCAAAACAGATGGCATCGACCCTCACGCTCAAGGGTCACCAAGCATCCCATCCCCTCCGGGGTCGGAAAATTGGTACCAGACTTGTCTGAGAGGATAGTAGCGCTGGTTCGATGCATCGGCAAGCCACCGCGAGTCATTGTAAAGGCTACATATTGCATTTAATAACCTCCAAAACGATGTTTAATGAAGTTAAATGCATGGCGCATCCCTCAGGGGTTGATCAATGCCAAGAGCTTTATCCTTTTTATCGTCCACTTTACTAAAAGAAGCGATCAAGTAAAGAAACCACATTTTATGACAAATTTTTGTGTTTACAGTGGTGAGCAGTACTTATTAACAGAAGATCGTCTTGTATTTCATTTAATTGCATTTATTGATCTACACTATGATGGTCCTACTGCATATGGAGACCATCCTTTCTTCTCTGTTTGTAACGATGCTATTGTTATCGACCCAAATTACCACTACTCTAGTGAAAATCCACGGTCACGGTACAGTGACGAGCACGTGAGTTCAAGTCTCCGCACTGGTATTTTTTACTACTCATAATTTTAACTCAATTTTATACGTGTACATGTTTTGTGGATCAAATTTAGCGTTTAGGATAAGAGAGCAAAATAGTGTGGTAGACATGGGGAAATGCTGTAGATTTTAGTAAGTCATGCAATTATACTACAGTGAAAGTGGACAATGAGCTCATAACATGGATGTGAATAGTCAAAAATAAAGTTTTCGCAATAACAGGTTATTTTCCGTTCTCTATTCTTTCGACGTACGCTTTGAAGCTCGCCTTTCAGTTAGATGCTTTGCGTTTGTATACCTAATTATTCTCGTTTGTCTTCCACTGTACTACTTGACATGGAAAGGAACTGCAGTTACATCAAGAATTTAACACTTATAATTCGACGATAATTCAACGCTTATTATTATTCAATGTTCTTCAATAAGCAGACACGAGGTTGTTAATATAGAATTTATTAGAGCACAATTGCTGACGTTTCGGCGGCTTCGCCTTCTTCAGAGCCTGGAAAGGTCAAACTGAGATGTGATCTACTCAGCCAAACACTTTCACAATCCTAGCAGATAAAACTTGACAATTCGAAATTCAAAGACACGAAAACTTGACAATTTTTTTGAAGAAGGCGAAACCGCCGAAACGTCAGCAATTGTGTTCTAATAAATTCTATATTAACAACCTCGTGTCTGCTTATTGAAGAAAAACATTGAATTATCAATTAATGCTGAGGTTAACAGAAAGTCGGTCTTGGGAATTGCTTATTATTATTGTTATCCTGACTGCTGCAATAATTAGGAACCAACTAAACTGTCCGATCTACCCAAGCGTAATAGTCAAGTCTTTGTTCTGTGCTGGTACGAATAGTCTCGCATCTCCTTCATTAAGAGATCCGGAGCCGGTTAGTCGCAAGGTTACGTGGCGATACTGTGGTGGCAGACAGGTGATGAATTGCGGACCAAAGGCGACCTTTGCTTCCCTGAGACGCAGGTGGATACGAGGGATGGACTCCTTGTTTCTACTGGGCCTATTTGAAACATGTGTTCTGTATTTACTGGAACGTCTTCATGTATATGTGCATGGGTGTGTCCAGTTATATGCATATTGTATTCTGCAGACCCACTGGGGCAAAAACTTGTAAACAAGTGAGTTCCAAATACACAAGAGGTTGCTGGAAGCCAGCTCCAGGTAAAAGCTCCACGTCTACTCTGGGTGAGATTGACCAATTACTCGTGTGTGCATCTTACGCTGAGAATTGAGCTAGCTACGTGTGGATATTCATAGACGCAGTAAAACAGATGGGTCTCATTCCTTGATCCTCAAAAGAGTCGTACGGCAGCATTGAGTAGAACGAGTATGGAGAGCCCGCTAAAATCTTAGGGGCATTTCAGACTGCCTATTCTGAAGGACTAAGGCGATGAATCATACTTACGCAGACTTGCATGTGACTTCCCCAAAGAGGACTTGACCATGCAGACAAGAAGGATAAGTTACGACGTCACTGGAATTGCTAAGACGAGAAGGTGCTGCCCATTCAACGCCATTTATGACACCGAAGAGGAATTGTTGCTCGGAACATGTGGCAGTAGAGGAGTGGGAGACGTTGTCGTATTCTTTAACACGAGTTTGGCCCTGAACATCTAATCATTGGAATGACTATCAACCTGAATCGGACGTTTACGAATGAAAAGGTGTGGATCAATACTGGCTTTGATCATCGTCGTCTTATACGCATCGACGTCAAGGTATGATGAAAGCGAAGTCGTAGGACTTGGAGAAGTTCTACAGGGAAGGCCATAGATCCATAGATTCTTTGTCACCGGATATCATTGGAGATTTCATGCTAAAATTGGACATAGATGAACACCTGGAGAATGTCACATTGGTATCCACGGATTGAAATAGAGTGAACAACCCGATCGGTTGTTTGCGTTTATCATGACGACAAAGTCCATATATGGTATTTCAGAATTCCAAAAACCCCTTTCTCAGCGTTAGGTATGGAAGTTTTCCAATGGAGAGTATCATAATCAAGTAGACCACATCATAGTAAATCGACTATTTTGCCTAATTGGTGTTGCTGTTATCTCAAAACTTTACATGGGATCAGACTATATACTCTTTCCAGCAATTTTTAACTTTTCTTCATTTTTTTTCGAGAAAAGAGAATACCGCAACACACAAGGAACCAATCCCAGAACCACCATCCACTCGGTTTTATTCACATCACAATTCGACTTTTGGGGAAGATGTCGGTATCGACCACATCGATGAACAATACGACCGACTTACTTGACATCTTTATGTTAGTGCTGTAAAAGCTGAAGGGGTGAGGCTCAGAAAGAGTTCCCCTTTCTTTAGAATACTCGAGCTAAAACCACATAGTTACATTGCCAGAGCTTTAGGGAATCTGCAACTCACGTCCAAACTTGTAAAGCGTTAGAGAAGGGGCGGTTGAAAGAAGATTTTAAAGAACGAAGAGGAGCAGTAATAGCTGAAGCTGTAGAGTTTGGGAAGAACACTCTCCGCCAATTACCAGACGAAGATAATTGCACTACGACATCCAAACGGAGGAATTATGGCAAACGGAAGAGCAATGAAGAATATAATTCACAGTTATTCCTTTGAACGGTTTATTAAAAAGAGCGTAAAATACCGGATCCAGACAAGACAAGGCTGAAAATTTGAAGAACCAATAATTTTCTACATAACTTAGCTGACGCGAGGTTGGTACAAAAACTTTTTTTTTTGTTTTTAAGGTATTGCGACGCTACGCGCTGGCAAATGAAATGCCGACTGCTGCAGGACCCATTAACCGCCTAAAACAGATAAAACAGATAAAACAGTACGCAGTAGAATAAAGGAGGGGACAATAGATCGACATCCGACCTATTTAAAAGGACACC